TCTAAATTCTTCGAGACTGCCGTTCCGATACTTGTGCTCAAATCCCACAACATTCATTCGTACCCCTCCTACTGTAGTAAATACTGGGGACACAACACTCAAATGCCTATTTTCCGCACTGCTGTACGGTAGTCACCCTAGGCTCCGCTGTTTGCAACGCGCACGTGAGAACCCTTGGTCTATGTATCATGCTTGACTGAGTGAGGTGATACGCTGTGTGATATCTGGCTGTGTCACGCCTCTCCTGGACCTCAGACTTCCTTATTTACACATCATCGCCGAACCCGCGTACCCCCTAGATCGCAAAACTGTACATCGCCTGATGGTACTGGAAAAATGTGCTGACTTGGCTTCAGTATGAAAAGTGTCCCCACGTGGCTTGGGGACACTGTTCATACTGAAGCCAAAAGCTTTGTCTAGCAAGGAGCTCAGATTCTTTGGAGGGACTGTAGCCCCTCGACCAATGGCTGACAAACGTTTTTCGACGTGTTTTTTTGCGGAGGGGTTGGGATATGTGTGGGCTGTGTACATGAGCTTTCCACTCCCTAGGCTTGCATCCTACCAGCCTCATTTCATGGAAATATTGTCAATATACGATGAGTTTATGTAGCGTATGAGCTCGTAGGTCTTCTTGTAGTTGCAGGGCTGGACCCCATTTGCGTGGCACCGGGGGCACCAAAAACTACCACAATCTGTGTGCCCCCTTCTTGTAGCCCTCTTGTAGCCCTTACCGAACAACGCACACATAGATGAGAGGAGAGAGGCTGCCATCTGAAGATCCTAGCCCGCTGTGAGTGTGTCCTTTTCTCCATTGTTGAAAGGTTGGTATCGAGGAAAGAGGAACCAAAGGAGGATTCGAATCTTGTTTTGAGTCAGAAACAAATGGACAACAAATCAGACGCGTGGATAGATTTTGTTGTCTCACGGTGTAGACGATGAAATGTACTGTCAGTCATCCAAGTGTGTCTCGAAACGCTTAAATTGTGAGATATGGCTACGTGTCTGTAGCTGCGCGTCTGTTGATACACAGGGCTGACCCACAAGTGAAATCCTCGGCTTTGTTGGCTGGTGAGCTGCGCCATTTAACGTATTTGCCGTCTCTGTACATGCAAATTATTCCCGCAGCATCTACAGCCTGAACGGAACCCTTCGTTTCGGGTGATTGACGCTGGTGGACGGGTAGTACCCGTCCACCCGGCGGGTATGCCGGGCTTCCCAACCTGATTCGGGAGCTCGGGTCTCACCTACAGTAGTATCTGCCGGGTGTTTTTGGGGCGGGTAACTCTCACGGTGCGCGCGCAAGATTCTTGGAAATAGGAAGAAGGCGGCGCATCAGTTTGATCAGTACGCAGCAGCAACCGCAGCAGCAGCAGCAGATGTTGTAGCAGAGTACGCCCGATTTTAGAAGGTGCAGACAGACAGACAGATAGACAGACAGACAGACAGACAGGCCAACAGACAGACAGACTGACAGAGAAGCAGACTGAAAGACCGACGTTGTCGATCGGAACTGTTTTAATGTGCAACGACGACGATTGACAACAACACAGCCTTGACCCTAACATGGCCGTACACAAGCTACTTCCACATATGAATGGCGGGTACCTGGGCGCCAAGGTATCCCGGGTACACGTACCTGCCCGGATATTCGACCGGCAAGTTCCTGGGATAACCGAGACCGTGTTTGGGCCGCATCTCTGGAAAATAGCCAGGTACGGGCCCCAACCCTTGTTCGCTCTTGAGAAACACATTGGAAGGCAGCCATGCCTCAAACCAAGATGATGCTATGTACTGTACAGAAGTAGGCCGGAGCGCTCCATGAAGCGAAGGGTTGAACAAGTACCATGTGGCCCGTTGTTTTTCTTGGGGTCATCGATACGTCAGAATCTACATTTAAAATGCGTAGCTGGTAGCACTTGCCATTCAGGCTTTGTCATCATGTTTTCGAAGTGTCGGCCGGTCCGTGTGTCGGATACATACATCTCCTGTAGTCTTCGACTCCGTCCAGCCGCCCTGTAGCGGCCGGGCTTGGACACAGTTCTTTGTTTTGCCCGTCCGTAAGCCCCAAACACCCCGGAGACATGGCGATGCGGACTGAGTCGACAGACCAGTAGTAACGAGGAAACATGAACCAATAGAGTCTTGTCGTAGCAACGAAGATGGGGGATTGCGGTTCCATCTGCAAAGGAGCCAGACATGGATTCTGCAACGTCCGCGCGATGGGAAGAAGTGATATTCGCCGTCAATGGCCCCTTCCTGCTTGTCGTGTACATCGACCTGTTGGGTTCCATCTCTCCACCAGCGCTGGGCGGCCTTCGAATGACGGCACGTCCGTCCATGGACCGAAAGACGAAGTGGAAGGCAGCGTCCATTGTCCAGGCCAAAGAACGTCGCTGTCAACAGTGCTCAGGGGTTTAATCGGCCTGTTGCTTGTGAACCGCGCTGGATTGTGCCTACAGCATATCCCCTGCGGACGCACAAGGACTCGGAACACGCCAACAGCAAATGCACGACAAGCCGCCTTCAGATAGGTATCAAACGAGTGTCTTCTTTGAGGAACACAGTCCTCGGGAGATTGGTGCTAACAAGAGAGAGCGAGAACACCTGCCGGGACAGTGAGCTGCCATCGGCAGATTCTGGATGTCCGAGCTTCGTGAAAAGACAGTCATGGAGACAGAAAGATTGGTTTTTCCCAACTTAACTCCGTACGGAGAATTTTATTATAGGACTCACACCCCAAGGCCCGTTCGCGAAAGCGGGCAAAAAGCGTTCGTTCACGCCCGAACACTTTTCATCAAGATCGACATTAAGGCGTGGGAGAATCATGTCTATGTGGGTAGCGTCGGCAGCAAGTCAATAGCACCTACACAGAATGCTCCCTTTTTGCTGTAACCGGAGATGGCTGGTAGACCAGACGGTGGAAGATCCACGTTCGAGGAGGACGACCATCTTGTGCGAGGCGGAATGGACCACGCTTCGCATCCCAACCTGGGGTCACGAAAGAACCACCTCCCGGCTACTCTTTCGAAACCGAGCCTCAGCCGCTCGTCAACCGAATCAACAATCCACCAGGCAAGGTCCTCCTGCTCGATTGATAGGATGGGGACCCCAATCGAGCGCTTCACCATCTTCGGGAGCCCTTCTCCCATCGAATCCTTGTGCCGAGGTACCTTGGGCGGCGGCGGGGCCTACGGGACTTTCCAGCACACGAACACCACCTCTGCCGGAGAATCTGGTGGACCGGCTCTTGCAGGGTCCCCATTCACGATCACAATAACTCGTCGTGCACGACCGACCAATGTGCGCGTGACAAAACGGTTAGTACCAATAATCGTCATCGAATCAAAGTTCCCTGCTGTGGTAAACGCTGGAGATTTCAATGCCAAGACAGAGCAACTTTGTCAATAATGCCTTAGCCGCCCAGCGCCCAGCCCCACGGTCGTCCGGAGAAAGGAAAGGGGCTAGGTCACCCCACACACCTCGTAAGAAGCCCTGGGATCGCCGGTAGCGAGGCATTTCGAGGGCTTCGTCTCGGAGAGCCTGCACGAATTTTCAGAGTACGCAAACGCGCCAAAAATCGATGGGAAAGTCCGTCACCGGGAAATGAAAATGATTGGAGCCACGGTGTGTAGTTGGGTCTACCAAGTGACGCCAGACAGGGAGGAAACGCGCGGCACGTCTTATAGCAAAGCGGCGAAACCATGAGTCTGGTAGGGAACCGTGGCAGCACGCTCACCCACCTGTGCAGACTTAAGATATGCTCGCAATCGCGGCACAGAAGAACTGGGAAAGGCCCTCTTGCCAGATGTCAGAATGGTCTTTCACGGGCATCGAAACCACGTGCAGGTCAAGGTGTCACCCGGGTGTAAGACCGCGAACAATGAGAAAGCTCTGTTGACGATGAATGCAGAGAAGAAAGACCCTGTACGTCGAACTGTGGGAGTTCCTAGAGGAACGAAAGAGGACAAGAAAATATCAAGATGGCAAGTGTGGAATATTCTTTCGCTGCGCTGCTGAGGAATCCCACCAATGAACTCTCAGCGGGACAAAATGCAAACATCATCTGTAATCTGTCTAACAAGATGTGTTTTAGGCCCGTTTCTCGTTCATGGTGAGCCGTTGTTCGTCGTCGTTTTCCCCCTACGGGACGAGTTCGGGTAGCAAAAAATGGGAACCTTCAAGCGGGACTCGTCCTCTAAATTGGGAAAGCGTGATCCTTTTGTAAAGTGTTCGTGCAGCATGAGCTAGGCACCGGTACGTGCCGTGCGGACTGGGGGTGCTGTTTTACTGTGTTGTATTGGCTCGTAAGAGAGGGGAGATATACAGGAGGAGGATCAGGAGTAGTGCCCAAAGAGTTCGACAGACAACGGGGACTCCGCGCTATCATCCAAAGGCCTCTTACCACAAACCCTCCAGGAACATCGCAACTGCGTCCTACTTAACGGCTATTTCCGAGCAATCTACTTCCACGCACGAACATAAAGCACCCCTTTTCAAAAGCGCCTCGGTTTTTGGTACAACAGAACGGAGGTTTCCAGGGGAAACTAAACCCCAACCCCCTGGCAGTGATTCACTTCTTCAATATCTTCTACTGTACATGTATTAGTTGCGGGTGCATTGCGTCAAACATGCCACCAGACGTTTCACGAGTATGCATTTCTGTGTTCCTTGGTTAACACGAAGAGGTGGGATGCCGATTCGAACCCGGTTCGTTGGCGGCCAATCAGAGATAATATCCACGCAACGAGCCTGTGAAAAAGAGGCTCGGCCTCGACAGACACGAGGAAAGACGTCCCTTGCTAAAGGCCATCTCTATTGCACTCATGTTTTCGATTTTTCAACCCATCAAGGTTGCCTGAACTTGAGACATCCACCTCCTTTCCCTCAACGTAGTGCAGAATGTGCGCCCTTCAAAAAGTTCCAACGCTGCCGTGAAAGCTAGACTAGCATACGTGTAGCACAACACGCGCACACGTGTGGTAGAAACCTTGCATCACGTAATGCCATCCTCGAGGTCTGTTCATTGTTCAAAACGTCTCTTGCCACCCCTCCGTTCCGTGGTACGCGTTGTCATTGACAAGAATCGTTGCTGCAACCCGCGTGTGTCGTCCGTGTTCAACAGGGAAGCCAAGATCGACATCACCTGCAAGCCCAAAAAGGACAACGTCATCGACTGGGACTGCATTTTTGTAAGTGGTGTACTTGGATAAGCGGGGCGTACGCATGTAGAGTTTCATTCTTTGGCGAATCACAGCGATGTCATCGATCATAGTACCACGTACCAGGTGCAATTCGTTCGCTGAGAATGTCGAATCGGGTATTCAGAACCAAGTGAATTTCGACGGACTACTACCTTTGGCGTTGTGTGAAGGGTAACTGATCCTTGCACCACAGCTCATTGACTTTGTCAATCGTGCTAGTTTTTTATGCTCAGGATAGTGGAAAGAATGGTCACTAAGAGAGGCTGGACATTTCATTCAATCTTCACTATGAACTGCATAGAAAGGACAGACACACGTATCGAATGCGTTTGTGACACGTTCTGTAACACCTTGAGTGAACCTTTGCTGCGTTTTCTCGTACACGTTGTCCGTCGCCAATCCGAACGTGGCGACAAAAAAGTGCATCGGAAGTTCACGCATTCCGCTCGGGGCAGTGAAGTTGGTTACCGTCCCCCTCATCAATGTGCTGGGGACAAACATTCGCTCATCGTCACCACCGCGATTTGACTTACTGAAGGGCGAAGATTCGGAGGAGGAGGTTCTCAAGTACAGGAGCAAGGACAAGAAAGAGAGAGCGACCCACACTTCGTGTACGGACAAAGACCGCCCGTGCTCCAGGTGAAGGTTTTGCAAAAATAAAATACCGCGAAACGCCATCCCAAGCGCCCGGAAACCTACCGCGTGTGCGCTCCAACTCCGCCCTGGTTTCAGCTGAGATTGACGCACGTGGCAAGGCCAAAACATGTGTCACGCTCGGAATCAAGCGAACTCGGGGACTGAACTCCCCTGCAAGTAGGCGCCAAACGCTGGTCCACACAAGCAGGGTTTTGTTTGAAGCGCGTGTTATTGATCTCGTTAGTATGCGCGGATCCCATGCATACTTGAAAACAAATTCTTGGGTAATACCGGTCTTCGGCACGATCACCACGTGATTGTAGAACTTTTGGTCTAACCCGCTGCCTCTACTTGCTCTAATATGGCCTGACAACAGGTTTATCGTTCCCAAGAATGTGCAGAGAGCAGAAACTAAAGTGGCTTACGGGCCCGAGGGCTTCCCCTTCCTTAAGGGCGAGAGGTATATCTACAAGTACAGCTTCCGCGCGGTCGAGGGAATGAAGCTCGGCAAACGTTTTACGCATATTGGCCAGATCGTGAGTGATTTAACAGTGAAATTGCTCCGTAGATTATTTTTCTGATGTTTCTTCCTTGGGAACTCAAGGGCTGCTTTCTTGTTGACCGACCTCGCTGTGCGTCTAGCGGTATCCGCGCAGCATATACCCCGTCTAGAGACGGCAGAAAGCGCAGAATGTCGAGACTGGACCACTGGCGTGGCGGATACATCCAGTTTTTGAGTTAAACACGGTTTTGCTCCCGATTCCCGGTACAGAGAGACAGAGAGAGAGACAGAGAGAAGCAAGAAATACTTCCGTTCGCCCGTGTGTCTGTCGATATGCAATGACGTGGGGCTGCCTTTGGGGGGAATGTGCACGTTGTTGGGCAGAAAGGCGCGTACAACGGAGGGCAGACGGTGGACGGAGACCCGATTGTATCCATCAGTGCCAACCTCGACGGCCTCCATGTTCGCTTCTCCAACATTGACAAGACCATCCCCGACTACTACACCCATGACAGCTGGTGCGTGGCCGATGTTGTTAGTTGACGGAAATGTGTGAGTCCCAATCAAAAGACCCATACTTCAGCGACAGGCAAGCAGAGCGAGCTAGAAAGGTATAAACCGTTTCAAATCAGGCGTGCTAACGTCCCTTCCCCCTTCACAAGATCAGTAATTTGTTCCATTCTATGTTTTTACAAGTACAGGTACCGGAATTGGAAGGACGCCACCGGCGAATGGGTGCACGTGACGATCGACACGGTCTTTGGGGAGTCGATGGAGGTCAGTTGCAACTACGTACTATTGTTTATGTTCGCTCACACATTGTTGAGAGACCTAAGTTGGCGCATCTCATTGAGGTGGAGACTGAGAGTATCCATTGCGTGCCTCGGCGATATGGATTTGCGGCCAAATCAGTGGATAGCCTCTGCTCTCCCAGCCATGTAGAAGTTTGTTCGTAGTTGCCCTCCTCCTCTAACTGTTTCACGAGCCATCCGACAAAGCAGGAAATACTGACCAGTCACTTGCACTACAACAAACAACCAAACGTCCAAGCAGTCCGCATGAAAAGCGAATCTGACGAAATTAGGGATTTCTGTTGTATATGCCAGGTGAAGTTCGCAGGGGGCGTGAGCGGGAAATTCGTCTGGCCTAAGGATAAGACTCCTGTCGCCTGGAACAACAAGGGGAAAATGGCCCGAATGAAGCTAGGGCTGTACCACAAAGAGGAACAAGTTGGCGACGGCGAAGTCGAGATCAGGGATGTCTCCATCGAAGGGCCGAACGGCATTATCCGCACGAGTCCAGAGGTATTAACCCTAGCGCTAGCTCCGAGAGCACCAGGAGAATGAAAACGATGAGTCGCCTGCTTCATGCCTTCATACGTTTCGGGGAGTAGCCTCGGGCACTCAGCGACTGACAAAAAAATTGAACGGCCGAGGACTCGAACTGACCTCCTGTACAATCGTTCGGGCCTCTCGTTGTATGCGTGCTGCACTCCTCTCGTTCTTTCGTGCTCAACGCCACGCCAGGAGTCGCCATCGCCCAGCTCAAGTGAGAAACACCCTTCCACGCGTTGCACTATGCGCCACGCGCTCATTTGTATATTGTGTGTATGACCTAAACTTTCCGTTTGAACCCCCCCCAGCGGTCGGTAGTCAAGTTTTCATTGTTTCTTTTGTTTCATCATCCGAAGGTTGCAACGTGTATAGGCTGACTCCTCGACACAACAACACCTGGTGTTCCCATTACGAGCGTCTCAACCCCATAGGACGAAGTGGGGCGGAATTCTGGAAAGTCCATCGAAAGGACGTGATAGTCTCTCATGTTCAACCCGGAAGTATTCCTTGTAGCGATGACAATCCTACATACCTGGAGAAAAAGCCCCAGCTAAATGCTTTGGTGTAGGAACCCCAACTCTCTGTCCCATGCCTGAGCTACCTCTAGACTTCAAAGTTGGACACAGATAGCGCCACTCCGAGGATTAATCGTGGCTGCTATACAGGCCCCAAACACAGTATGGAAGCGCACGAAATCACCATGTACAACCGGCAACGCTTGCTTGCGCCCGGCAAATGACGCTGTAGTTCCAAGATGGGCATCGTCATCAAAGCAGACTTAGTTCTCCTCCATCATTGCAGAAGGTTGACGATGATGTGTTCATTTATCAAAAATAAACTCCTACGCATTTTCGACGACCCAAAGGTTTGAGTGCTTCATCGAAGCGCGTACGCTAAGATGCACTTAAGTTGTACCTTGTTTCGATGTTCCCACTGTGCCCAACGCGTTGAAGAAGAAAACGACTCCAAAGGGCACTTGTACCTTGGTTGCTTCGAGGACGAGAAAGACAAGCGTATCTTCGGAAAAAAGTACGTCGACGCCCACATGACCACGGCGGTAAGTAAGTACAGAGAGCTAGATCCCACCAGGAGGGACTCGACATGTTTGTTCCGTAACAACGAAATGGTCGACGATGTCGTTGATGGCGATAGTGACGTCACGAGCAGGTCCTGTTCTTCTGGAACACATAGGAAACGCACTATAAGAAACTATTACAACGCGACCAGCGCAGCTATAAGAAACCTAGGGTTCTCGAGTCTTCGTGCATGCTTTGACGATGATTCATCGAACGTTGATATGTGTGGACGGTAACCAACGCCATCATCCATTGGGTGAAAACGCGCGGTTTTCGACGGGCGGTGAATGGGAGTCTTCACGAGCCGACATGGAAACATTTCATCTTAAATCGAGGCTTCAGGGTATTTCTCTCGCGGCTTCGTAGCCATGCTCTGCCTCTGTCCCCCTCTCGTTTTGTTAGTATCCTTGTTGGGGTCGAATTTTTCAGGCCGTGGTGGTCTTGGTAGCGATTTCCAAGAACCCTCTTCGCACGGCCTTGCGCCGCTTGTTGCCTGACGAAACCTCCCTCTTGACAACGTTTCCTGTCAACGCCAGATATGTGCTGATCTCTGCGAAGACTCCAAGTACTTCGGGATGCAGTATGGCAATGAGGTGACAAATATCGGGGGGGATCTGCAATGAAGACGTCATTTTGACTGCTATGCGTGGGACAGTTTTTGACTGTTTGTATGGTGGTTGCGTTCGCTTCTTCTCCCCCACCTGATTTCCTAGCAACTCGGGGTTTGTCGCGGTCGGACGGCGGTGGTCCTCTGATTTCATTAGTCAAGTTTGACTCAATCTGGTTGAAACATTTTTCTCGTTTCGCACTTGTTCTGTTCGAGAAGAGAATAGGTTGACATTTTAGTTGAACTTGGTGTGAGTAATTTTCACGATTCCAACAGATGATGTCGGAGATCAGAGTATGACACGAGAAATTAGCGCCAGCACCTACCCGGCGTATTCAGAGGGCAAAACTTGCAGAATGCTCGGGGGCTTAGCACCGTGTAGAATCTTACTTCTGAGGGCATTGGTAGTAGGCCGAGGTCAAGGATGGGCGGGAAAAAAAACGGCTCTCTCAATGCGATCAAGCTGCACGTACCTTCGCCAATACATCCACTGCGCCCGCTGAGAAAACTGCACTCGAAAAACTTTGTCACGGTGTAGAGTTGCTCGGCATGTCTGACCTCGGTTGTTCGCCATTCTTAGGAGATTTTCACTCCTCCAACCGCGGCAATCTGCTTGCTCGTTGCCATCGATCGTTCGTTCAGTGCTGGTGCGGTTCTTCCAAAGACAGGCCCAGGAGGCACGGGGAATCGAAGAAGTGCACCATGGCCTGCGCAGGCGATAGTTCTACCCAGAAGTGCGGTGGTACGTCGACTGCCTACCGTGGGCATCCTAGTTACTAACCCTACAATATTGAGTAAAGCTGTTCTAGGGCAGGACGGTGCTGACCTCAACCTAAACCTGTGGCCCTAACGGTGTGAAAAATGACTAGGGGCTACCGAAGGTGTGACGTCTGCTCATTTTGCATACCTAAATAAAACTTCTTCCGAATCCTTTGACCTGGCTTCTGGTATTGTAGGTGGACGGAGCCTACCGCTCTAGGTGGAAAGAGCATGATAGGAGGCCGCAGACGCCCGTTTCTGTGGATTGTAGTCGTGCTTGGAAAATTCTCTTGATGGCCCAATCACCACCACAACCCGCGAAACAAACGCAAACAACCCGAACGGCACGCTACAAAATATTATGAAGGATGGGTCCATCTGTTGAAATGATGGTAGGGCTTGTCTAGACCAGGAAAAAGCAACGACATTCAATGAAGCGGTCTTGTTCACTGCACTGGTCAGGCAATAACGCCATGGACGTGTACCAGCACGAGGGCAAGCCGGATGACATCCCGAAGGGCACCAAGTACCTGGGCTGCTTTGCGGACCATCCCAGCGATAGGGCGCTCAAGCTCAAATTCACCGCAAGCTCCAAAATGGACTACGATGCAAGTATCATTGATGTTTCCCAGTTTGTTCTTCGGACTGCCTTTGGTTTTGTGTGTCGTCGGTGTCACTGTTTTCATAGGCAAGGTAGGCAATGCTCTTCTTGTCTCCTGATGCACGTATACAGTACAATTGATTAATGCTTTCCCTCGATCTTGTTGTTCTTCGTATTACTCAAATGCAACTGGTACTATGCATACATGTTCCGCGCTGTTTCAGGCGTGTAAGAAGATATGTGACAAGGAGGACGCAAGGTACTTCGCACTCCAATACGGCCAAGAGTGAGTTGAACATGTCGGCAAACCGTGTTGTTGTTGTCATCGTTCGTCGTCAGTGGTGGTGGAGACGCTGCCGTTGTAATAACGGCCACTGCCGCGGGTGTCACTGCTGCCGCTGTTGTTGTCGGTGTTGCCGCTGCAAGCCGACCTTCACATTTCGTCAACAATGGCATGCAGCACATTGATTCCAGATATTTCTGTGTACCATGCATACGATGCTGTGGTCTCCTGTATTCACGTTTTCCCGCACGCAAAATTGCGCGATATTTTCTTCTCGCATTTCCAAATGCACCCGCAAGGTGCTTCTGCGGTGCACGGAAAGAGGACTACGACAAACATGGGCCCGCCATCTGCCACATGAAGTGCCCAGGCGACTCGGACTTGGTGTGTGGTGGTGGCAGGGCTCAAAACGTGTTCCTCATAAAGTCCTAACAGGTTGCGATCACCCTGAGAGGCCCGCTCGCCACATCAAGATGTCTGCAGGGGTGCGAGTCCGCCGGACTGCGCATGCATGCACGCGTGCGCCCCCTTACAGTTGCTGGCGAAGCTGTGTTGACAGGAACAGGTTGTTCTCGCGGGAGTGAATCTCTCGGCATGTGCGAGACCTGTAGGATGTTCATAGACGCGCCGCCGTTGGTTGGTGGGAAACAAGAACGTACACTTTTTGGAACAAAGCCGTGGACTCAAGCTCACAGACAGATTAATGGAGGTTGTCTTCCGTCACCCATTGTATATCGGTTGTTTCACTCATTGCCGAAGCAGACACGGCGTAGGGCGTCGAAGGCTAGACTTTTCTGCAGCCCCTCGGCCAGGAACGGCATTCGAAGTATTGATACGGGTCGAAACTTCTTGGAACCGGATGATTGCCGCATGTAATGTGTATTGTTTGTATGTATTGATGACTTTCTCTTCCCAACCGCTGCCACGGCGATGTTCGTATCGGTACACCCACACTCATGGCAGCAGTATGTACTTCAAATTGCTTTCCAATCCTCATTTTTGTTGTCCATCACTCATGCAAACCGCTCATGTTGCACTTTGCCCACCTGTTGGTATCGAATTTCGCCGTTTCGCGTGCCAACAGCGGTTGCGCTACATTGTAGATGAAAGTGGGATTGGTGACTTCTGAGAGAGGGCACAAGAAGGGGGAGGAAGATAAACCGCACAGCAGAGGAATGTAAGAGCGGGTATATATGGAAATTTCATACTTCGGTCTACAGTTTTCTCGATGACATTATGTTCTGTTGCTTACCGAGTTTGTTTGTGTCTTGCGGCTTGGGTCTTTGGACATCGAACTCAAGTGTAAATTATCAATTATCATTGTTTTTCGAGGATGGGTATGCTTCTATGCACTGTGTGCGGCGATCTCCCCCACCCTATTAAACCGTACGCTTTGCGTTCACAAGGTGGAGGACCTCGGTACATAGACTTGATTATGCGTGTGTGAGGGGGCGGTTTGTGTTCTGTTGTTGTGGCGAGAATTTCCTCTTTTTAGAGCCCAATCCCGCCCATTAAATAAATTTGATCATGGCGTTTGTCATATTTTCGTCTTGGGTGGGTGAGGTTCGCTAAGCTCTTCGAGTAAGAATACGTCAGCTGTGTGAGCTGTTGAGCTTGAGAAACTTCACACCGCAGCTTGCAGCCAGCTCTGGGTTGGTAATTAACTGTCACGTTGCATCACCCCTTGATGGCACTGTGCTCTCACGCGGCGGGCTCACGTATGGGTACTACATTTACGTATTTTCTTGAACATCGGCTGGCCTGGTCTGGACATTGACGTACGCTACCATGTCTGTCTCTGCCCGTGCTCAACGACGGGTATTTTCAATAGAATACATAAATACCTAGTAATTTATATTCACAACGTTTCATCCATCCGCACTCTCCGATGTCGGCACAGACTATATATTGTGTCGTACACAATCGGGCCTGACGTCAAGGTGTCTCGTATGGGGTGGCCGGGTCAAGTTTGGTGGGTAAGTAGATTCGCTCAGCAGTGCTGCAATCGTGCGTTTCTACACCATCCCGCTGAAGCCCTATCAGAGATAGCTAAGTATCACACAGCGGCTGGATCCGATCTGCCGTTTTGTCCCAAATGCCAAGAGTGGTGGGGAGCGTAGCCCAAACGGACTCAATGTTTGCTCCTCTGGCGCACTTGGCTGGCTCTTTTGAGGCAAATCGGCGGGATTTGGCGGCAATTCCGGTATTTCCGGCGGCGTATGGAGTGTTCACGTGTATATGCCTATGATAAGTTGGAGACTTGAAAAATCTCAGAGTTTTGATATCCTACTGGCAAGGGACACATTTCATTTTCGGTGTCCGCCAATACCGTCGCAAGGGACACATTTCATTTTCGGTGTTCCCCAATACCGATTGGCAAGGCACTCCTGGTTGGCCCCAATGTCTGTCTTCAATAGCCTCCTGGGGCAACTAAAGAACACAACAGTGCTACACGCGGGCAACGAGCCCCAATGTCCCATTGGGGCCAGCCAGCGATCCGAGGAATAACTGTTGTGTTCGCGGACGATGGTGTTCTTCTCGCCCCATCGCTGGCTATTAGGCCCGAGCTACGAAGCCTGGTCCCGCCGTGAAGAAGTTCTACGAGCACATCCACCACGATTCAGGCAAACGCATGATGCAAGCTTGACACCACAGTAACGTATTGTATACGAGGGCATTGTTGCCGTAAAACAATGGAACCACCCGTCTGTATATCACAGAACCCGTCGTACTGCAAGGGCTCTCCGTCTTTTTTAACACGGAGCATGACTACCATGAGCAAACTCTTTCGCAGAAGAATCCCACATTGTATGGTATATGGTAGGAGTTTGCTCTCCGGTGTCAAGGCGAGGCTCTTGTCACGCCAAGGGTGATCTGAGGCTGTGGGGGGGGGGGGGGGGGGGGGGGGGGGGGGCGCCCTTTTTTTTTTTTGGGCCTTTGGGGTTAAAACTTTACCCCCCCCCCCCCCAAAGGAGGGAAAAGGGGGGGGGGGGCCAAAAAAATTTCCCGGGGGCCAAAAAAAAAATTTTTTCCCAAAAAAAAAAAAGGGCTTTTTTTGGGGGATTTCCCCCCGGGGGGGGGAAACCCCCCCCAACCCCGGAAAAAAAACCCCTTTTTTTCCCCTAAAAAAAAACCCGGGAAACCCCCTAAACGTTGAA